ATTTGTGCCTCGCAGTTTTGCATAATGGATTTTGATATTTATTTGCTGCAGATTCAGTTCTGTCATAGAGCCGGTCATATGACAGGTGTCACATAAAAGCACGCTAGAAATTTGTTTTTCCTTTGTCACTGTGGATCACTAGCATCTAGAGTAGTGTCGAATTGCATGATGTTTGATGAATAATGAAACGGCATGAAAATAAGTGGACGTGGTCATCTTTCTATAGGGATCAAGGAAAACTACAAAACAAATGGGGATAACTGGTGGCCCGGCTGAGATTCGAAGCGAGCACCTCCCGAATGCAAGTCTAGATAGAGTTACCGCATACCAACCTGCTCGGACTTTTCACACTATCTCGAAAAGTGTTTCACGCTAAAGCTGCAAATCTTAATCTGACCCATACTTGTCTTATGTGCCAGTTTTTGTGTGGCATGTTTGCAACAAATTTGATGGTGCTGAGTTTGAGCTTTGTGTAGAATGCGGATTTTAGGTCACAAAATTAAACTAGCAGCACACATTTACTGTGAACTGCCAGTGCCAAATTTTACTGAAATTCATTGTGTAGTTTCAGTAATGAAGTGGACATGACCTCCCGTACGTGGTTTATTCAGGAATGTCTGAAACTATTGGTCACTCGTTAAAGCTGCCCTTGTCCGCTCTTACTCAGCACTGGCAAGAGTCCATGGAAACATGACTCACTGAGCATGACATATGTATCGTCAAGATGCTTGCTACAGAAATCGTAATATTACAAAATAAAGATAATGTAGCTTGTAGACCCGTTACTAAGTAACGACCGCAAACAAGCAAGTTCTCGTGGCAACGAGTCCCCGCGCAGCAACAGAGGAACTGTTGGAAATGGAGGTTTCTGCGCGGTCCGTGCCAAGGAGTTATCTAACGAGGACACCAGCCGAGCTGCAGTCTATATCGTTCCAATTTTAGTGTACGTGCCGCCGAAGCGTGGAGTGTGGAGGCCGGGCCGAATACCTCCACCGTAGACCTGCTAGTCGTAGGAGGCGACGAAAATGGAAGTCTCGAATCTTAAACAGTAAAATGTGGTCGCGAGTCTCACGGGACTCGGACCCCGAGAATAACTGCGCTGGTGAGGCCCAGCAGCAATTGTAAACGACTGACCCGTCCTCTCGTCAGAGAGGGTACCTCACATCAACAAACCCGCAACCATCTGACAGTAATAAAAATCTGGTCATAAGCCCCAGATGGGTGCTTTATTCCAAGACAGACTTGCCGACTGACCGTCGGTCGTAACATAAGACCTTGACCCAGACTCAAAGCTGCAGTCAATTGTAAGGGAGTCTGTGAAGAGAAAACTTAGTCGGTGCAGTTGAGAGCCAGCGGGCAGCGAAGTGAGCGCGGAAGCTGAAGAATATCCACTGTTAGAAGCCGTTACGAGGGAACAGCTGGTGAAGTCACAGCAGGCTGAGAAGGCTTAGAGTGTACTGTAGTGATCTATACAGTATGGAGATTGGTGATGGCGCGGTAATTAAGCGTAGTTACGAGGCATGTGTTAAAGTGTTCAGTAAATCCGATCCCCAGTCCAAACCCCGTCTGTACTGACTCGTATCACGTGACAATAATATCTCCTCAGAGAACGTGGGATGTTTCCGGTTTTTGATTTATTTGTTTTGTGTTCGTTAATTAATAAATTCCTTACGTGATATGCTTCTGTTAATGTGTGAGAATAAGAAGAGAAGAGCAGAAAATGCTGTATTTTTGTGCATGTTAATCTTTACATGTGTCTGGATATAGCGGGAGGCTGGAGAAGAGTACGGGATGAGAAGCTTCACAATTTGTACTCGTCACCAGACATCAATATGGTAAAGAAATGGAGCAGATTGGTTGGGCTCGTAGCACGCATTGCATACGAGGTTCTAGCGAGTAAAGCCGAAATAAACCGATATGATTAAAATAGCTCGTAAAGAAATAAAATGTGTTTGGACTGGATTGACCTGGCTCAGAATAGGGACCAGTGGCAGGATCTTATGAACACGGTAATGAACCTTGGGGTTTCATAAAATTCTGGCCGGTTCCTTGGAGGCGGAGTAACGATTAGTTCTGTGGATTTAATTTGGAGTTATCTTCATGTGCAATAAATTTTGAGAAAATCTGAAAATTCTCTTAGAACTCCCTTTTAAAGTAGCAGCTTTAACAAACTAACATAATGGAACTGAGCCCATCTTGAGAAGCAGCCAATTGTGTAGCTACTCAAGAACTTCCCAGTAATTTAATGAACCCGAAGGTTTATTACCTGTTCACAAGAGCTCTCCACTGGTCCCTATCCTGAGCCAGATCAATCCAGTCCATACCACCGCATCATAACTTTCTAAGATCCATTTTAATATTATCCACCGGCCTACATCTTGATCTTCCTAGTGGTCTCTTTCCTATATGCATTCCTCTCTCCCCCATTCGTGCTACATGCTCTGTTCATCTCAACCTTCTTGACTTGATCGTTCTGATTATACTTGGCGAA